ACACACACACACACACATACAGTATTTCCTCCTCTGTATTGTGAAATTCAATGCAAAATCTACTTTTTTAGATGTTAAATGCATTTTCTTGAGGACTTGGTGTCTCTACCTTCTGGTGCTTCTGRCTCCAAAATTTGAGGCTGGATGGACAAGTCTTGACATCTTTTAATTAATATGTAAATAAAAAATTTGCACTGCGTATAGTCATAAACCTCTCCTGCAAAGTACAATGGACTGATCTGTGAGCTGGAGGGGCCCGGGTATGAAGCACCTGTTTGGATTTAAAGAGACAGCCTCAAAACGAATTGATCTGAGACACGCCTCAGAAAAGAGGYGAAAGAGGKGCTTGTGGAGTTACAGTAAGGAGGAATTCAGACCAAAGCGTTGCATTTCCACTGTATATAGACGCAAACTGAAGGATTTAAATGCGACAAAGAAGGTTTTGAAATCATGATGTATGTCTCGTTTAAAGTCAGGACTCTGGAAATAAACTTTATTTATTTGTTAATTTATTTATTTATTGCCATCTCACACTAATCCTCTTTACTATAAAATAAACGAAACTGATATTTATTTACTAAAAACTAAACAATTATAATTGTATTTATTTATTAGTTTAGCTAACACCAAACTCCAGAAGTGTCCTGTTTTGTCATCAAACAATGACAGCCTACTTCCCCCAACATTTAACCTGTTTACAGAGTTCATAAGGTTATCATCTAACTTTTGTTTATATGCTTACTGCAGTTTGTTTGTTTGTTTACCTGCTGTAATCTCCTCCTGTCGGGTGAGAGCAGCGCTGCTGTCAGTTGCTCCTGTCTGGCAGCAGTCAGCCAGCAGACGGCAGAAGAAAGGAGGAAGTGGAAACATCAGCATTATCTCTGCGTTAGGAGGAGAGAGACAGGGGTGGGAGAAAACGCCGATGAGTGGCGCACACACACACTCTCTCTCTCACACACACACACAAACTCCGGACATCAGCGCTGTGGAGGAAGAAGTGCCCTCGACTCGACAGGTTTGTTAAAACACGTCTTTCTCTGTCCAAACCAGCCGCAGCTCGTGCGTTTTGTTGCGCTCCATGTTGAGGAATCGCCTTGGCTTTGAATCGTTTCGCCTCAGTCAGGGAGCGTTTGTCTGTTACATTGTAGCCAGATTATTGTTATTATTTCTTTACTGTGCTTCCTGTCGAGTTTCCTCCCTGTGGCTTTCATCTCCTGTCTGTCGTTACTTTGTGAAGTGGCCTTTGGCGGCTTTTTTTGCGCCGTTTTCTCCCCTTGTTTTGTTGACGCGCATTTCTGATAAAAGCACCGCAGATGCGTTTCAGCTGCGGTTAAATGAATTCAACTGGCTGTGAACTGGTTAAACTGTGCTTTTTTTTCTTTCTTTTCTGAAACAAGTGCACGCCATCCCTGGAAGTTGCGTGTTTGCAGCGGATAAATGCTGCAGGGAGCTTGTGGTGTTTTTCTGGTCGCTTTTGTTTGTTGAAGTTTTGCGCTGTTCGCRTCGTGTTTGCGCGATTATTTGCCAATTAAGGGGCTGCTGAGGGCCTTGTGTGGCTAGAGACTGAAGCACATTAAAGCCCATGTTTTTTTTTTATATACAAACAAAACAGTTCATGCAAATTCACTTCCGTCAAATCTCTGCACTAGAAGTTCCGTATGGTTTTTGCATGACTTCTGTTTATGCACCCTGGATGAACTCACTTTTGCACATATTATTTTTAACTCATCATGTGTGAAATAGGCTTTGGGACACTTTTTTTTTTGTTTACAATAGTTACTGTGCCAAACTGGTGAAAAATAAAAGCCAAAAATGATGCAACAGTTGATAATTATGTGAAAAAAACAATGCATACATTTTTATATTGTGCAAATAAAACAAATGTTAAATTTTTGAACATGTACAATTTTTTTTTATTTTATTTTAGAAAAATCTGTCGATTAACCAAATAAGTGAGATAAGGTTAATTCTGGTCTGCATGGATTTTAAATGTTTCTCTGATTGGACACACCTGATTTGAATGAACAGTGATTAACGGGCGTCTGCAGAATTTATAGTGCCGGTGGCAAGCATATCATACAAATACAAAAAGTCAAAATGTTTTTATGTTTAATAAACTTGGCATAAACACATACTTTTTATTTATTTTGTCACAGAACTATATTTTCTTTTGAACTTTGTTCAAAGTGAAACAGGAAGTGACATCAAAGGGGAACTCTTTCAGAAAGGAAACTCCCTGTTTTTTTGTTTTTTTTTTTTTGTTTATTGAAACAATGTTAATTGAACTTTGACTCTTCTTCATCTCTCTCTGATACTGACTCATACAAATCTAAAGAAACATCAGATTAATCTCTTCAGGCTGTGTTGTTAGTAGGGGTGTAAGAAAATATCGATACACTGAAATTTTGCGATATTTCATTTCCCGATACTGTATCGATATTCTAAAGCCATGTATCGATTTTTTTATTAAGGTTCAAAATGTCAACTTTCCTGCCAGCCGTTCATTTTTATGTTGTAGTTCAGCCTCTGACCATTAGTTGGCAGCAGTGAGCCAGCCATTTGGCTCCTCCACCTCTTGAGGTAGAGGCTATTGTTAAGTGTTGGGTGACCATATTATAAATTAATATTAAAAACTAAAAACTTCAAAATATATATTTTCAAACTATTTATTGTCAAATTTAGTCTAATAATTGAAAACATGGATGAAATAAGAAATATGAAACAAATAAAATAAAATACATACAAAGCAGAACACAGCTAAATGTATCAAAAGTATGTCTATGTAATATTAGAATTTTCTGAGACAATGAATTTTGGTTTTTCATTTTTTCCCCTGTAAGAGGTTTTTATTTAATAGAAGTTTTGGACAAAAAATCGCAATATATCACGATATATCACCTTGCTTACAGTATTGCAATATATCGGGATATATCGTAATGTGACCCCTCTGTCATGATATGTATCGTATCGCCAAATTCTTGCCAATACACAGCCCTAGTTGTTAGCTGTTGTAGCAACACTATATTCAGGCATTCTCCTTTGACATCACTTCCTGTTACTTTACGCGTGAATATCTCAACTTTTCATCCCTGTGGTGTGATTTTGGCAACATGTTATCAGTGTTATATTTCCAAGAATGCATTCATAGTTATTACAAAAATTGGATGTCACACTTTAAAGACCTTCTGAAGAGCAGGGAAACTACAAAATCGTGCAGGACGGTGGCCCTCCAGGACCACGATYAGAAGCCACTGATTATGTTTTGATGTTGCCACCCTGATTAGTTTTCATCTAGCATTCAGGTACAAAACTCTCATTTACTTGTTTCTAAATCAAAGTGGAATTAACATGCAACAAGGATAACGAAATGCATTATYAGCTGGTTGCTGTGGAACACGATGTGCCTCAGCTTTTTCACATTATGTTCTCTCATCTGAACTCTGCTCATTAAGGTCTGATAGATGCCCTGATGTTCAAAATGTTCCTGTTCTGATGTGTAGGAAATGAACTTGTGGAACGGACCTTAGCAGGATGTGCGGGGGTCCCCTCAGATGCAGCCAACAGTTCTAATGAACCAGAGGGGCTGATGAATGAACCGTTTTATGATCGTTCAACTTAGAGCCAAAAATATTTTCATTCTTAGGTCTGATTTGCAGCCAAGTTTGGTTCATGCTGCAGATACTTGGAGGGTATTCTCTTGCAGAGAAAATTCAATCTGTTATGCTAATTTCCCTCTGAATGAGTCCCAACCTTAAGTGTTTTGTTTATTATAGGACGGGATCAGATCCAAACACTGTTCTTGTGGATCATACGGCTCTAATGTGCTGCTGTTACATTATACGTATACATTAGGGTCACAATGAGTTGTAAAATGAAAGCATCGTACAGATGAACACAATTAAGCATTTTATCGGCCGGCGTTCTCTACCTGCCTTACTTAATGTTTATTTTCGAGGCTGTTTTTTTTAAACGCCCTTCACTGCTCTTCATTATATCAGCACAAACTTAAATGATGCTTCAAACGCCCTGTTTTACGATCGCGCAATGAGCCTGAAGAGGAATATTTGCCTCAGCGACGAGTTGTTAAGAACTGTTGTGAAACTGTTCGCGTCTGACTGGAGTTGTGGGGTTTTGTTGAGCCAGCCAAAGTGCGCAGTAATGAAACATCAGGACGGAAAACTCAAGTGAAAACAGCGCAGCAGTGGCACCGCTTAGGAACGTTTCAGAACAATGGAGGTGGGACCGTGATTTGTTTCTTAGGGTGTGGTTTATTCATGAAACTTATGAATGAACCTTTTCCTTTTAGAGCACTCTCACAGAAAGCAGATATGTGGAATTTAGCTGAGGGTGTAAATCACCAGCTTAAACACAATCTGATAGATTTTGTTTGGATGACAACAGGATGTTTAGGCCTGTTAAAGGCACAGTGTGTAGGATTAGCCGAAATTGAGCTGATCACTAATGACAATAATAAAAAACATGTCTAATCATTGCAGACAAAGACCTTGGTTTATTATTTTTATCTTATAAAAAGCTGTTTATATCTCCAYGGTCGCGGGTCGCCACTACAGGCAGCCACCATCTTGCACCGCCATCTTGTCTACGAAGGCTCATGAAGGACAAACTGCGGTGGCGGTGTCAAAAACGGTTTTAGTTGTAATACTATAAATGTAATATTTGTTGTCTGTCATAGCTGGGATAAT